TCGGATGCAGTCGGCCGTGCTCCATTACGCAGGCCGGTTAGAACAAAAGCCTCAAGTTTGTGCAGGATGGTCTGGCTATGAGCAGTTACCCCTTTGGGATCACACTGTCTCCGCTCCTCCATTCAACTCTGATTGTGGTTGAATGTGGAGTGACACTTGGTTGGCAACCTTCGGCCAGAAAATCAGGGTGCACTCAAATGGGCTGGAACGGGCCGCGGATAGACGTAGATCGTGCGGTAGTTACCGTTTTCTCCGCCGTTTGGGAAAAAGCCAAGCTCCCCACAAACTAGACCAGAGGAGTCGGCGGGGTCGGGGAAGTTACAAATCTCTGGACTGCTGCCCATCCACCAGTTGTTGTACTCCTTCTTCCCTTGGGCAAAGCGAAGTGTGACCTGAGCATGAAAGGTACTGTACTATAAGTACTATACTATAGACTATAGACTATATACTTTATACTAGATAGTATATACTATATACTATACACTATATACTATATACTGTATACTACTATATACTACTATATACTACTATATACTATATACTATATACTATATACTATATACTATATACTATATACTATATACTATATACTATATACTATATACTATATATTATATACTATATACTATATGCGTGAGGGCTTGGTATACACTTTGTCGTATATGACCTTGCTCCCCTCAGATGAGCTTGTCGTTGAGGTAGAATGATTGCTTCCAACGTTGTTACGAATAACCCTTGCAGTTCCGCTCGCTCCGCACTTTTGCTTGCTGCGGACGGATGTTCGCTGCAATCTTTGCAAGAAGGCTTCACGCACTGACTGATAGCAGATAGGACGATAAGTGCTAGATCACTTGCTTGGCTTGAGCCAAAGTTTCTTGAGCCATGCACCGATATCATTGAGCTTCATAGACATCCACTTGTTGAACTGTGTTCCCACAAGATTCAGTCTTACTCAGTAGGTTGTGCCATCCTGAGTTGATGTTTACACATGTCACCATAGTTCACACAGGAATTGTACAATGCTTCGATGTCTCTTCACACCCCCCATGAGTGAGGCCTTAGGCTGAACTCACCCAGGAAGAGAGACGTAGGAAATAAGCTCAACGGCGCAAGTTGATCAGTACGTTTTATCAGCCTTAATTATGTGGATGTGAGACATATGAGCTTCGAGTGCGATCCCCTAACTTTGGTTCAGTGAAGAAGAAACACGTCTCGAAGAAAGCATATGCACGAAAAAACATTCATACGTGTATTCATCGATGATGGCAAGGAACTGGTAGACGATCACCAATTGCGTCTGTCGTGATCCCACCGTTGATCATCCCAATTTTCTGAGTAGCGCGGTTGATTGCGACGTTTGCGCTCTTGATGATCAGGCGACTTGCTTGAAGGCTTCGGCCTTGCCTTGGGTGCAATCTCAGCCGCCTCCTCCGCCGTGAGGGGCATGTTGAGGATGCTGGTCTGTCCAGGTGGTAGCATGCTTCCACCAGGAAGGTGTTGAAGTGCGTTGCCTTGATAAATGTTCACTATCCCTTCGGCGCGTGCTTTAGTAAGTCTGAGCGTGTACTTGCGCTGAATAGGAATGCATAGATCGACCATCATCGCGATGAGCTGTAGTGTACAATCCTTGGGTCCGAATAATTGGCAAATGCCGAACGGATCAATGTTAAGGATGCAGCGTGGGGCGTGCTGGCTGCGCGGAGACAATGTACTGAATTGTTGGTATCCCATGACCTTGCCCACGATCCTTGCCAACAAGGCGGCACAACTGGAGTGTACCATGCCCGTGTCGACTTCGGTGCCCTCCCGGATGTGACTGCTCACCAGGAAATGCTGTCGTTTGTAGCCAAGTTGTATGGCTCCGCGAACTAAGGTAGAAAGGATTTGATTCGTGCGGTAACGACTCAGGGCATGATCACCATATGGATCTTCTGGATCTCCTCGTGCTATGCCACACTGCCTAACCTCGTCGTCAGCAAGCTCTCGTGGTACCCCTGTTCGAGCATCTATATCTGTCAGGCCTGTCCACTTTCCTAAGGAGTCGTGGCGTTTCCCTTGACCAAATGCTTCAAGAGCTGACTTCACAGGTAGTTCTAGCCATGTGGAATACGTTGGCCAGTTCTTGTATAACAAGAGCACGATGATGTAGGCCATGTATTTCGCATAATCACAGTGTGGATCTGTCATGTTGGCCGGTTCCGCATTGGGGTAGACATTCACCATGAGTCCTCGTTGGTAATGGGCTTGTGCCGGGTCAACGTGGAACTGCGTGTCAAACATCAACACTGGACTGAACTTCCTGAATGTGTCGTGCAGTGGCTTCCCCTTCAGCTTGTTCATCGATATCCATGTCAAGATCCAGTTCACCTTCAGGTTCGGCAATGGTATGTGCGTCGTCGACTCCCATGGCAACGTCGTTGTCGTTGTCAATCTCCGGCTGGGGTTCATCCTCCATTGGCTCGTCTTCAATGACGATCGCATTTGCAGCTGCTTCACGAGCACTTGCAATGGCTTCATGAGGAACTTCCATTGGAGCATCAGCATCGGCTTCAACGCGTTGATATTTTCCACGAGCCACAAAGATGGAAAAGCAAAACGTGCACCTTGCCAAACATGACGGTGTGTTCTTCAAGCACCATGGGCACAATCGGAATCTGTAGATGATGAGAAGTTCAGCTTGGTGTGATCTGACCATATGTCCTTGAAACGTGGAATCTCAATGGCTTTGGAATGCAAGAGCACTTGACACCTTTGCAATACCTCTGGATTCACGTAGCAGGCGGCGACCATCTTCTCGTAGAACAGCTGTTTCTCATAGACTGCGAATGCTCTGTGATGGTGATGATGAGGGTCATTGGGAGCGACTTGATCCGTGCTAATGACGTGGGTTCCGTGGTCTGCTTGAGTCAACGAACTCACCAGCTTGCACCAGAATGACGATCCATGTACCACAACGCAACCTCGAAGTTGAAGTTCCGTGGCCACAAAGGAGCATGCGTGAGCATATCCTTGAAACCCCTCGGATCTCCTTCGCAGCGTCGAGTGAGCACAAGCATAAAACCTTGGATCGTGATTGATCATCACAATCGGTGGTCTTGGTACGAGGGCAATGACCTCCTTGATGTGGTCAACGTAGACGCGTTTCAGGGTTTCCTCCATGTTGCCTAGGGCAGCCACGGATTCTGTACTTCCCGGAATGATCAAGTTCTCGTACACAACCGCTTGCAGGCATAGATGAATATGGATTGTCGTTGTTGCTCTTTGATCCTCGTTCATGGCCATGACCTTCTGCTTCAAGAGACTGAATACTTTGATCGTATTATCGAAGTTCACTGGCATGTACATTTCGGGAGATAGCTTCGTCAAATGGCGCCATCCCTTGTTGTGAAACGCCTCAGACAGTGAAAATGTCGCTTTCTTGTTGTTGGCATACATCTCGAAGTCCATAGCGAGGAAGGTGTGCTGAGTGCGAACGATGGTAGCGTCGGGTTTCCCACCAATGGCGAGATTGTACCTGATTTCGTTCG